GATAAATCACTTTGAAAATGAGAGGGGATCCCCTGGGCATGACATAAAATGGCAGAAAACCAATCTTGTATAGCATTAACCTGGCACATTTTGAGCAGGTATAAGGATATGAGAACTTTCATAAGTAAGATAGAGAAGGAAGAAGAAAGATTCCTAGACTAGCGAGATATGTCGCACCCCCTCTCAGATCCCCTCCTCTCTAGCGGGGATGTACTTGCACAAGAGCCTTATTGATTTGCCCTTATTTTGCTCTTACTCTGTTTTTTCTTGAAGGATATTTTTTTCTTTTCAAAATAAGATGAAACATCTCTGGGTTGCGCTTGAAGAGTCTAACACTTGGGTGTCTTAATACCCATCCCCCTCTCCTTCCCTAACAGCCGCGTGTGGAGCTAAAAACGCTATGCGTTCAACTTTTTCTTGAAAGATGATTAATTTTTGTGACTTTGAGTAAAATGCTCACCTGTTGTCTATAGGCCGATGAAGTTTGGACGGGTGTCACATACGCAGTGGCAGCTTTTCTGCTGCAGCAAGGTGAACCCGAGAAAGCCTTCCATACCGCTTCCGGCTCTTATAAGGCTTGCTTCGAACGTTTCGGATTACAATACCAGACTCCAGAGGCGCTATATGAGAACAAGTAGGTCTCTTTTTTGCTTTACTTTTTTTTCATTCTTATCGATTGTTTTTTGAAGGTTTTACCGAGCAATCGGCTACATGCGACCCCTAAGTATCTGGGCAATGCAATGGGCTCTCCGATTCCATTGTGATCTGAATTCGCTCAAGCCACCCTCGGCGACGAACTCGTCCCCACGACAACTCCTAACTATCAAAGCATTCGATGATTCAGCTAGTGAAGGCTACGCAAGCGACGAACGTGATCCCGAAGCTGCTAGCAGTAGCAGCAGCACTGGTTTGATCAGCAGTACTTCGAGCTCATTTGGCTCACGGTAGTTAAGTTATTCTAGGAAACTTATTTGATTTTGTTTATTTTTTGTGCCATTTTGTGTGCTTCAATTTACCTCAGTCGCTTTATCTGCTCCCATTATGTACGAAATACTTCCTACAGGGTATTAATTGTGGTAGGAGATTAATTGATTAATAAACTGTAATTTGTTTTTGCTATAGACCCTTTTGCACCATACCGTATGCTACCGTAACTTCGGGTGCTTTGAGGTGCAAAGGTAACTTCGGAGCTTCTTATCATGCTTAAGTTCACGTAAGCCTTTGAAAGTGGACATTCTTTACAAGCAACATTACATAGACGTGAAACATCATCATATTTCAGCTGCGGGTTACGGCTGCATACTGTAGCGGTGCAAAAAGCTCCATTCATGTCTTCCATTTATCCCAATCGATTCGCAGTTTTTTATTGTTGCTCGACTTTTTTGCATATAATAACGTGGTCCCTCGTCTGGTTTAACAATACGATGATGATGACTCTGCAATGAGTTGCTTTATTGTGTCCATAATATTTATTTTTCATGTAA